GGATGGGTAGATTACCTTACTATATATGTGCACTAGTGGGGAGGACTTCTTATGGACTAGGTAACTTCTAGGTGAACTAGTTACACATCAAAACAGATTTTTAAAGAGTTAGAAGAGAGCTATACACATTAGCCTAAAACAGTCCCATCGTACATTACCGTATTTCATTGGAAGAAAAAATGTAATTACTATTATTACCACAGTCTTTACATAAATATAGCAGATATTGGGAAACGGAGAAACTCCCTCCTTTCAATAAAACAAAAGTTACACCAAATGGTGTAACAATAATAAAAAATAAAACGAAGCAGGCCTTATAGGCGGGCTAGTTTATCACTTGTTTATTTATCACTTTTTTAACCAATTTGAAACTATTATTTATATTTATTAATACATAATATACATTGAACAGTTTATAAGAAAATTTGGCGACACAAATGGCATATGAAAAATCTAAAGTTCGTCGGCTGGAGATGGTGTTGTTAAACTGAAGCCTTTCTTTTGTAACTGTATGCTTTATTCTATTTTATTAGGAATACTATGTATTAATAAATAACACATAACCTTAATCTTTGCTACAATTGCAAACCGGTCAAAATACTAACGAAATTAATGAATGAGTTAATTAAAATTATTGGTTAATACATTTTTGTGATTACAGGCCACAAAAAATAAATACAGACAGAAGTCAGAAAGAGAGAAACAGAGAAAGAGAGAGAGAAAGAAAGAGAGAAGAGAGAAGAAGGAGGGAGGGAGGGAGGGAGGGAGAGAGAGAGAGAGAGAGAGAGAGAGAGAGAGAGATGCAGATCTTTTTTGGCAGGTTTTCCTCCTTTTTTATTCGTATTAATAATATATATTTCCTTCTCAGCAGTAATAATATAAAACAAATAGGTGTGCATTTCAATTTCAATTAAGATTAAATAATAAATAGTACCAACAGGGTTAACAAGTGCTCGTTTGTATACTAAAATGTACAAACTTACCCTGCGTATATAATGTATATTGGACTCTGCTGTTAAATTTGTACGAAGAAAATTAACGTAATTTCCTAGCGTATGAAACACACTGAACTTAAGATATAAATTAAACTGTAAGGCGTAATAATGAAAAAAATCCCCAAAATTCAACAATTAATACATTTCAATGAAACCCTTCTCAAATTAAAACACGAGATAAAACATTATATCCGGGACAAGAAAAAAAGGCACAATTTGCTGGAAATCTCTTAGACCGAGGTAAAACTTGAATTTCGCCCAGTAGTAAAAGTTGATGGATACGTTCACCCTCGTGCTTTATATACCCCGGATTTGGATCGGAATGGACGATTTGCATTACCGGATGGGAGAGGATATCTGGAGCGGCTTGAAAGAAAAATAACGCTCCAGTCGTTTCCTCACTTCTTTAATGACAGTCATCAGCCTGCTGATCACGCGAGGGCCGGACCTTTCGTGCTAAATTGACTTTTATCAACTGGAGAATGATTCATTGAGAAAAATTTCCACCCGAGCCAATCCCAAGAAAGCAATTTTTCGATTGGAACTTCCAAACGGCTGATAATTAAGAATAAACACGGCAAAATATTTGCGGAAATCAATTTCAACCAGGGAATTTAATTTTCCAGGTTACACGTTTTAAAAAACCCATATAGTAAGACGGAAAAAACTAGTAAAAAAAAATGAAATTAATATATTGTTCTATTGTTAGGAATCGGTGATTGCGATAGGATTGAAATAAAGAAATTTTCATTTAAACTTTTGATGAATATAGATCCAAAGCCAAACTAATTAAACTTGAAAATAAGTCATATTTTGTGTTTTTTTAAACGTGAGGGACAATAAATTAATGGTTTTTTGATTAAGAATTCGGGGGGGGGGGATATTAATGTATGACCCCCTCGACACCCAACGAACTAACTGTTAGACGGTAAGCATTTCTGTATGACAGGAATTACTTAACTGATTACTAAATTATATAAGGGGTATTCGCGTTGTTAGATGTTGTTAGATGTAGCTCTAGTCGAGAAATAACCAGCTAGATTGTGAACACCCCGTTTTTTTCTTGGCAAGTTAAATGTTAATTTTTCTGCATTGCAGCGCGTAGCGACTGGACTGGTAGAACCAAAAATAAAGCTACAACAGTCCTTAAACGCTTGTTGTTGTTTGTATTGTTTTGTTTTGTGTTAAATTGAAAAATGCCAAAAGTTAGTAAAAAAGGAAAATTAATCCACTCTTTCATTCAAATTCAAATTGTATGCACTCGAAAGGTAATAGCAAACGACGTAACTTAATTCGTCTCGACATATTACTTCGACCACTTACATCCTAACGGCTAAGGTTAACGAGACGATTCTAACGCAGATCTATTTCATCATTTTTCTAGATCTAACACGAGTTAACAGGGTTAACAAAGCCCACGTGAAGAGAGCTGAGCCTATCACATTAAGCAGTACGAGACTTTTAGCTTTTGTGTAATTTACATTAAATTACCAACAGGACTTGAGAACCCACCCAGGTTGATAATCTCTAAAATACATTCTTCCTATTTACGTACCACCCACTCAGTTAGGGGAGAGGAGTACTTGATATTTCTCCATCATGATCTACACATATTATATAACTGATCTAATTGAGAGTCGATGGGGTAATCAATATTACGTCTTTGGCCAGCTCACAATATGCACGCTAATAAATACAGTCAATCACAATGTACACAAAGAAACACAAGACAATGTATCTATGAATTACTATATGATGTAACCTCCTCCCAGAATCGGAACAAGTGACCCAGGTACGCGCTGCAATGCTCAAGAACTATTCTCATATCGGGTGGTATTTCTACCCGCTCTATATGTACATCGAGACAAGGTGTTTCACACTTCAATTAAGTGGGTCACTTCTAGCAATTTTTCTCTACATGCCGGTCACATACGCGGACTTCGGTCAAAAGTAAGTGTCCGTGTCTCAACCTCACATGGGCTATCGTTAATCGCGTGATGATGACGGAGAGCCCATTCCCAAAAACGATCAGACATGACTAATATTATTTTGGGATAAAAACCTATTTTACCTTACTTTTTACTAAAGCTTTTGATATATCATTTTAAGTGATAATAACGTTGGTAACATTGATAAATTATATGAAGATGATATTTCCACAGCTTCACATAATACTTAATAAGCCATTTGTTAGCTCAGATATAAATCAATAAACCTTCAATACTTTCTAAGAAAAATCTGGAATACAGCAAATTGGAAAGAGAACACAGTTCCTTCGTTGTGCTTTCGAGGAACGCATCTCCTTCATTCATTATTTACATTGAAACTAAGTTACGAGTCACCAATTATAAACATATATTTACAATAGTGAAATTTAATGGTTTCAAAAATATGAAATGATCAACGGGTGTTGGACCTAATTCATTATTATTTAAAAAGGGCTTATCACATTAGCTTCAATTCGGCTTATCTATGATTTTTAAACACAGAAAAACTGGATTCAATCGATAATACAATCAAATTATTATTGTAATAAGAAATATTTTGCATTTAAAGGAATATAGTACACAAATTATAATCAAATTGTTATAACTTTGAATTAATAGCCAAACATAACTGACAATAAGTAATTATTTATTAACCCCTTAAGCGCATGCTATTCTCAATTAAGATTAGCAGATACACTGATATTGTTGACAGCTGTGTGATTATCCGTGTTTCTAATTATTTACTTATTTGGGATGATGTAACCCCTGTTTTGATTCTCGTTTGCCAAATTTCATAAATGAAGAGTCGACATTTTTAATAAATGAAATCACCAAGAAACCAAAACTCATAGATTTTTACTGTAGTACTAAGGTTGGAGAGGTAGATACACTCGAAAAAATGGTACACGCATACAGTGTTTCATGTTGAACACACCTCAAGCTGCTGTTACAGAAGCATTGGTATTGCACAAAATAGCTAACTCTAAGAAAAATTTCAAAAGGAAAACTTCCAGAAATTTTGCTCACCAGCTTTTCAAACCTCACATGGAACATCGGCACAACACAAATTTGCCAAGTTAACTTGCTCAAGATGTTTACAGTTTTTTTTAGGGAATAGTCATATAATAAAGATTAATGGCAAAAACTACCTTCAAAACTTCTAAAACAATCAATGTATCACTTTTGCCCGCTACCTAACGACAAAAAAAGTCAAAACGGCTTGCACGAAAAGCGGAAAACCGGCTTGCAGTGATCACGGAAAGATTTTTTTTGCCGGTGTTTTTGAAAAAAGCCCATTTGTAATGAAGGGCCGCTGGATTCGAACCCGGGAACGGAAAGACGTTGTGTACCGACAAGAACTGATTTTTACTATCACTATCAGTTTCTCACAATGGGAAATTGGAATTTTTATATGCCATTCTATAATACTTGATAAATAAAACACAGAAAATCAATTGAAAATTAACGTACTCAAATTATTCTTGAAATAAGTTTTTTTTTCGGTCATATATTACTTTATACAGATTGCAATCGAACATTTCTACATTTCCTGTGAATCCTACCTGTAAACCATTTGTAATACTGTCGTTAAGTAACTATAGTAATAAAATTATCTTTAAAATTGAACACAATCACTATTTCCAATATGAAAATTCAACACTATTGTTTTTATTTTCATATACGATTATACAAAGTCGACATTTTTTCTTAATTAAAACAAGTGTTCGATGAAGAATGAAATGCCGAAATTTTATTATGTGATTCGATACTTATAGCTTTGAACGTAAGGAGTCGAATACTCATTTCTAAAAATTACTATTTCATTAATGTTTTTTTTAAGCTCTGTTCTTACATATCTACACATCATACCGAGTGTATTGCTCACTGTATTGCAAGTTTAATTTAATGAGCAATTACATTTGAAACGAATAAAATAAAGTTTGGGTGAATTAATTGTTATATCAACCAGTTAAAAACGAACCATAAATTGAGCATAAATATGAAAAGGTTAACTCACAGCAACTATGTCCAGGCAGCAAATTTAGGAAAGAACCTAAAACAAAAGATAAATATTATAAGAACGTACAATGCTAGAAACAAAGTTAAATTAAATTATAGGCATGTGTATGTATCAACCAACTGGTAAATTTAATGGAAATCGAAATTATTGTTTAACTGTTTCCAGTTTCCAGTTATACAGTATGCACCACTGCTGGTCGATAATGCAATGATGTATTTACAGTTTGTTATAAGAAATAATTCAACTATCAAATCATTTATGTTAGGGAGCTTTTTTAGGTTTCTGCAGAGAGAGAGGAGAGAGGAGAGAGAGAGAGAGAGAGATAATACATATTATATATAATAGATATTATATATAATAGATATTATATATAATAATATATATTTCCCTCTCAGAGGTAATAAGAAAAACTAATAAGTGTGCATTTCACTCTCGTTTGTATACTAAAATATACAAGAGACAAAGAGAATGAATAAATGAATGAATGAGAGTGAGAGTGAGGAGTGGAGAGGGAGAGGGAGAGGGAGGGAGAGAGGGAGAGAGAGAGAGAGAGAGAGAGAGAGAGAGAGAGAGAGTGAGAGAGTGAGTGACTGACGGGCGGAGAGGAGAAGGGAGATATTGACTATTAAACTGATCGATAATTATTTAGAAAATAATCAATTACAGTGATTAAACAAGAGGTAGCGAGAGAAGGATTGAAAGAGAAAAGAAAAATAATGTCTTTTTGAAACTGAAGGGCAAACGAAGAGGATAAGTGAGGAGGATGAGAGAAGCATAAATGCAATTTAACAATTCAACAAATAAGGAACAATCAGGCAACCAAATAAACAACATATTTCTGGCATTATTTTACTTTTTTTAAACCAGTGGCTGTACAAAACAATACACGAACAAAAAAATTCTCTGTCACGCTTACATTCCTCCGTATGTGCGATCATGTAAAGACACGTTTTATGTTAATTATGTATGTATTTAGTTCCGAATATTAATTAAATTACAAAACACCCGTGAATGGATTTCACTTTTATAATTACAGCCCGGTTACAAGCCAATTCGCCAATTATAAAGGGAATATGCAAAAATTGAAGGATTTCCATAGATCTTCCTTCGGCTTTGATTCCGATTCAGATCCAGGCGATATTTGCAATTTCGTCAATTAACGGGTTGTGCGGTTAAGTCGATGAGTCCCTCGTCCAAAGATTATCGCCCCTTTCCAAACGTTATCCTGTTTAATTACTAATTTACAATTCATACATGTAAATGCGAGATTTATGGCTCGACTCTTCCTCTCAAGACAGATTTCAGAACCATCAGAGAAACTGTAGATAACAATTATGTCTAATTTATTTTAATTGAATTGAGAAGTTTGGGGTTGTGCAAATTGCGGAACATTACCAGTACGTAGATTATCCTCAGGCGCCATAGAACAAGACTAAAACTCAAGAACAGAAACAGAAAATCGCACAGCTGACAAATGTTTTAATTAATTTTACTCTCGTTTGAAAGTCAATATTGGCTAAAATAGTGAAAGTTTATATTTCAAAGTGGTTTACTTTTTTCAAGAGTTCAAATTTAAACAGGAATGCCGAAAAGTGAATTTCGCCGCATGAAAGTAAGCGGCGTTACTTCAGTGATAAAAACAGGTGGTTCCTCAGAAGGAATTCCACCGTCATCACAAGTGATTCACACGTCTTCCCCCACATTCCGGCGAATGCCTTCTAACTTATTTCTAGGTAAAAAGACGTGTGCATCTCGTATTTGTTTAAATTCATGCCGCGTGAGACGTGTGGAATTCCTTCCGTAGCCTTCCTTCGATGTTACTCCTGGTTTAAAAAACACGCTACTATTATTTATTTTATTTTTTTAAGCTTACTCTGTGTTTGAAGAGAGTGAATAACCTCTAGCTCCAGTTAAAAAATATGTCTTTCTGAACCACAAAGTTTACGTAAAACCGTAAAGACGTGTTTTCAGAAAAGGTAGGCGGCAGTGAAAATTCACAGTTTCACCAATTAAGTTAATAAAAAAATTAAATGGAACAGTTTTTATGAGCAGTTTTATATATGCGGTTTATTAACTGTATATGCCACACTTCTACGGAAAACCCTAATCCGATATATTTATTGTAAATGAAAAATACATAATGATTTTTCCAAGTGGAATTATAAACAATTAATAACAAATTGACCCAATTTCCAATTTATGTAATATTAAAATTAATATTACAAATTTAATTAACTAAATTTATCTAAAATTAATATGTAATATTAAAACAAAAACAAGCTCTCTTTCTCTTTCTCTTATCAGAAAGAGAGAGAGGGAGAGAAAGAGAGTGAGATAGATAGATAGAGAGAGAGAGAGAGAGAGATCGTGAGAGTGAGAGAGTGAGAGAGAAAGAGAGAGAGAGAGAGAGAGATCGTGAGAGTGAGAGAGTGAGAGAGTGAGAGAGAAAGAGAGAGAGAGAGAGAGAGAGAGTCAGAGAAAGAGAGTATGTGTGCATATGAGAGAGGCGCGGTAGGTAGAGAGAAGGTGGGGGATAAATAAATGGGAAAGATATATAGAGTTAGAGAATGAGTGGGACTGAGTTTGTGGGTAAAGAGAGAGATAGAATGAGGAAGAGGTACAGGGATAGAGAGAGAGAGAGAGAAAGAGAGAGTGATAGAGAGAGAGGGAGAGAGTATGTTTGCGTGTGAGAGAGGAGGTATGGTATGGTATGGTATGGTAAAAAAAGGATACTAGGAAACGGGGTTTGCGTTCCCCAGGCACTGCAGCCTTCTGCCTTATTGTACCTTCCTAGTTCCTTAGTTCAGTGCAATAGACCCAATTCCTTCTCCTTAAAAGTATTAGGTCATTGACTGTCGCTGCTGCAATTTGATTCCCTAAGTTTTTTTCCGTTTAAATCTCCATTGAACTGTTGCTTCTCATTCGAAGATGATTTGAGTGACTGTTTCTTCCTCCTCATTAAATAATCTGCAAATGGGATCATCGTTTTATATGCACATGTTGTGTAGATGTTTCCTCAGATGCCAGTGACGGTTAGTAGTGAGAGAGGAGGTAGGTAGGAAGAGAGTGGGAATGAATGCGGTTTTATTTAGTGTCGCAGAATTTAGTCAAATGACCACTCTTACATTCAAAGATAAAGGAGGATAGAGAAAGATAGATAGATAAACAGAGAGAGAGTTAGAGAATAAGTGAAAGTGAGTGGGTGGTTAACAGAGAGACAGAATGCGAAAAAGGTAGGTGAGAAAGAGGGATAGAGAGTTACATAGATAAGAGATAGATAGATAGAGAGAAAGAGAGGGGGGAATGGATAGAGTTGATGATGAGAAGGGTATTGGTATTTCCCAAAGACTGTAGCTTTTTGGCATATTGTACTTTTTTCTCAATCTTTACTACAGTTCAATTGACTAATAATAGACAATAGAATATACTAGAAGCAAGAACAAGGACCTTTAATTCATTCTAAAATCAAGTAGTAAGGTACTATGATACAAATATACAGTCCAAACGATATGGAGAGAATGTCAAGTAAGATAGATAGATAACTAGATAAATAGAAGACAGATTTCTATCTGTTAATGATCTTTATTCTTTAATAAAGTAGAATTATTGGCAGGGGTACGGTATCGACGTCTTTATTGCTCAGGAAACGTTAGCCAAGTTTAGATGGCATTTCTCTAATTGCAGGGTAGTTGGATAGGATTTCTATGTTGTTTCTTCCAGACATTGAAACTCCCTTTAAGAAACGTTATAATATGAATGTAGCTTTTTTTTCATTTAGACGTAACTTTTAATTAAAAATAGTAAATCAAAACTTTAATTAAATTTCTTTGCCCTAGCAAAGTGTGTTCGAATGAAAGATTCAAGAGCAGAAATGAAAGTTATTAGTTATATGTGATAAGATTACATATTATTTTAGACCAACTTTTATCATCTAAGATTCTCTTTTCTGTTTCCTACGTGATCTGTTTTATCAAACAGGATTATTTTTATTTTATACTTCAATATTTCTTACTTGAAGATCGTGTATAACGTTATAACATAACCAAATGTTTGAAAAACGCGCGCGTAATTTTTTTCCACAGAATTTTTCGACGTGCATCAGTCAAAGCTGATCTACCTGACGCCAACGCAGTTCAAATAATACCTGTTGAAGCGGGTATTGAATATTCATCCGCGGGCAAAGTGTAATCAAATTGCTAGTTTCCCTATAAGATTACACCTGGATGTATGACGCAACCGGTAACCTAAGGTTCAATGAAACTGCTTCCCTCCCAAACATCGTCACTCTTAGGCTTAAAAGCTGGAGGAGAAAAATATACTATATAAATTGTTGAACGCAAAAGAAAAATTTGAAACAAGCCGGCCGTTTTATAGAGCCCCGCAGTGGTAAAAAGGAAAGTTACGACCATCCTTTCCACGTCGATATGGTGCAGGTGGTTTATTAGAGTGAAGTCGTCAACAGTTAAAATTTAACACAACGTAATTTCAACTTTATATACAACTCTCTGTAAAATAGAATATTTAACCAGGAGTCCTTACTTGTTAACGAATTTGCAACCATATAATTACTTCATTTGAGCTTTTCTTTATAACATATTAAAAACAAACATAAAAGTACGTAAGTAATAAAAAGTAAAGATCTAAATAATTTTTCAATGTATTAATAAATAATATTAAATATTATATAATATATATAAATATAATATATATGTGTGTATATATATTATATAAATATAAATTTTATTGTATCATCTGTTTGAATATTTTCTGTTATCATACTGTCTATTTATTTCTGGTGATATTGCACCCCTAAAGAATCTACATGTAGTGAGATTCTGCTCTGAAAATAGTACATTACAATTGCTTAACCGGTTTTGAGATTATCAGTAGTCTTTCAGCGAATGTTTGACGACACTTTCCATTTGTGTGTTCTGGCGTTATCTTGGCACTAGAAGATGGAATTATGGTCGTGCTGCATTGACTTCATTGTCATTCAACTATGTACGCACAACCTTCTTTGTATTCATTCAGTT